AATAGAAAGAAGAAAAAATAGAAAGAAGAGAAAATAGAAAGTACAAAAATAGAAAGAAAGAAATAGAAAGAAAAAACTTTCTAAATCAATCCTTCCACAATCCTAGGAATATATACAATTCTATTTTCAGATCTGAACCAGTAACCCCACGTTTTCCAACAGTAACAAGCTAGGAGTATATGATATATACTCACCATCTTGAGGGGGAGTGTTAGCGTAGGGGTATTTCTGTCCTTATGCCCAGATTAAGGTTGTTGATCTGTAATGTTGTGTTAGAACCAGTGCTCCTTCCTTAAATAAGGGCACATATGTCTTTTCAATTACTTTAATAATAAAAAAGCACTATCTGGCCGAATGGGAGTTGTGTTCTTGAGACTTCCAGTTCGAACCAGACTTTCTCCTTTTCTCTTTCTCTCTTTCTTCCACCTTTCTACCTCTTTCTACATAACCGATCTCAAACAAATAGAACTCCAAGGCAGGCCGAATCATAACACAGAACTTTAACCCCTTCACCCACTTCACAGAATCACCGAAAGCCTAACTTACAAGCTCCTCCTGTAGCAATGACTTGAAGAAGATTTGATCCTTGATCAGATTGCTCTGAATAAAACCCTAATTGGTATTATTTACACTAAGGGGATCACCCAACTCTACTATTCTTCGATTTATTGAAGGAAAAGGATGTGCTGTGGAGGACTAAGAAGTCTTCTAGTTCCTGTTTATGTATTTCTCTGATTCATTTCTTGTTTCTTTTTCTTTCTATTTTAAATTATTGGCAAAGAAGTCTCTCACATTCTGTCAAAGAAAATGGGGATTTTTTTGGGGTGTAAGACAGGTGAGAAATGCAAATATTTTCTTCTGCTTTGTGTTTGAAGCCCATATTAACGAATCATGAAATAAAGATATATTATTGTTCCGAAAAAAGAATTAGAAAGTTTAAAGATTCCATTTTTTGAAAATATGAAAAATCAGCATGGTTAAAAAGACTTTTTGATGGTTCTGTTAGAAAACTCTGACAGGGGAGGTTTTAGTCCTTTCTGAAAATAGAGGGGAGGTTTGAGTATTTATAAAAAATGTCATTGGAGGTTTGAGTCTCTTGCCCTAAAATAAACATGTGTGGGACCTTGCAATAAAACTATCTTTTTGGTGTCTATCACCTCATCTATGCTTCTTGTGCAAAGCCAATAGTGAAAATTCTTTCCATGTTCTAATCTCCTGCAACTTTGTGTCTCTATTTGGGAGCATTTTTTTCTTGCTATTTGGGTGCAGGTGGTCTCTTCCTAGTGACCTAAAAAAACCTGCTTGAAGATTTGTTTTTCTCTCATCCAAGAGAGAAAGGTGGTGAAATTATGTAGAGATGTGTAAGAGTAGTGATTCTATGGCGTGTATGGGAAGCAAGGAATGCTTGACTATTGAATGAAAAGGAAAAGGAATTAAGAAACATTATTGATTATCACTGTAGAGGTGGCTCATTGGGTCAAAACCGTGGAGCTATTTGCACCATATGTGACAAATGACATCATAAAAAAATTGGGGAGAAATGGCTGATTCTATCCTTGCCAGGTCAAGAATACTTGATCAACAGTGCCCACCACAGACTCATCTCCTTAAGCTGAATTTTGTTGGTTGCAGCCTAGGCAACCCTGGACCATCAGGAGTTGGGGGAGTGATCAGAAATCATGTGGTAGATGTTCTGTTTATCTATTCTGTGCCTATTGGTATGGGGGATTCAATCAGGCAGACCTTATGGTTGTTCTAACAGGGTTGAAAAGGGCTAAACTTATTAGCTACAGAAATCTGATTATTGAAGGGGATTCAATGGTAAATAACAGGTTAGCTGGGAAGTAATTTGGAGGGTCCTTGGCGATACAGATATCAGATTAGAAAAGCTAAAGAACTAGTGATGGATTTGGGATCAGTCATAAGGTGGATACCTAGATTTTCTAACAGTGAGCAGATTGGATAGCTAAAAGGGGGTGGCAAGGAATCGGATGTTTGAGACATTGTAAATCTGCAATAACTGCCATGTACATTAACATTTACATCAATGATATAATATTTACACTTTGTTAAAAAAAATACCAATGCTTATATGAAATTGAAATTTCAGTGCATGTTGATTATACGTTGGCTGTTTCCTCTACAGGAGATATATCGCATTAAACTTCCTGGTCCACCTAATATTGGAGAAGGAAAGCCTGAAAACCAAAACCATGCAATAATTTTTACACGTGGTGATGCTTTGCAAACAATTGATATGAACCAAGTAGGCTCTTTATACATTGCTCTATAGAGTATGATATTTGTATCTCTTGTTTTCACAATGCATGGTTTTGCAGGACAACTATATGGAAGAAGCCTTCAAAATGAGAAATGTTCTGCAAGAATTTCTACGAAATCATGGACGACAACCTCCTACTATTATTGGTTTGAGAGAATACATATTCACAGAAAGGTTACGAAACTTTAGACTTTCTGCTAATAGCTACCATATGTTTTATTTACTGGCACAAAGAATCCAGACAACTTTATTTCTGAAGATCCATTGAATTCAAATCTATAAAAATTATGGGGTTGGCATATAAAGAGTTTGCAAAATCATAAAAGAAATTACTTATAAGCCCTCAAAAGGTAACAGGCAATGCATGGACTAATTTGTAATTACCTTTTCATACTTGGACAGTTACAATATTACATAATAAAAGTTCAAATGTAGAAAGAATCCAAATTTGTGATCAAGTTACAGATTTAACATTTATCATTAAGGAAACATAAATTCTGTTGCTGGAGGTGATAACATATGAAAGCAATAGACTGTATTGTGGTTCATCTGTTAAATTCTACTCTGTATAACTAAGGCTATTCTTGTCCAGAAGCTGAAGTGAAGAGAAGAGAGGAAATGAGAGAGGAGAGATTTGAGAGCTCAAAGAGATGCTGGCAGCGCCAGCTTTTTAGTATTTATTTTAGGGCGACTAAATCGTAACATAAAGAGGGGAATTACAATAGTACCCCTGCAACACTAACAGAAATAAAACACAAAGAAAAAACAACTTATAACCAGCCTTTTAATACTCCCCCTCAAGTTGGGACATAGATGTCAATCATGCCCAACTTGTCACATAGATCATTGTGCCGCAAATGATGTAACCCTTTTGTGAAGATGTTTGCAAGTTGATCTTTGGACCGGACATAGGGGGTGCACACTTCCCCTTTGACAACCTTTTATTTGATAAAATGCTTGTCTACCTCAATGTGTTTGGTTCTATCATGCAGTACTGGGTTAGCAACAATGTTTATGGCTGCCTTGTTGTCACAATATAAAGTCATAGGTCCATCAACTGTAAATCCCAGTTCACTCAATAGATTTTTTAGCCACATTATTTCAGCCACTCCATGAGACATTGCTCTATATTCAGCTTCAGCACTGGATCTAGCCACCACGTTCTGCTTTTTGCTTCTCCAAGTGACTAGGTTTCCTCCCACAAAGGTACAGTATCCACTGGTAGACTTCCTATCATCCAGTGATCCTGCCCAATCTGCATCAGTATACACTTCAACCTTCAAATGTTTGTGCATTTGGAACAATAAACCTGCACTTTGGAATTTATTAAGATATCTGAGAATTCTTTCAACTACTTCAAGGTGAGTGGTCTTAGGAGCACGCATGAATTGACTAAGAACACCCACTACATAAGCAATGTTTGTCTGAGTCATGGAGAAATATAGCAGTCTTCCTATGAGCCTCTGAAATTGCTTCACATCTTTGATGAATTCACCTGGGAACTCACTTAATTTGTGATTAGGATCAATAGGAGAATCAACGGGTTTCACTCCCAATTTTCTTATATTCTGTAACAGATCTAGGACATACTTTCTCTAAGAAATGAAGATGCCCTTTTGTGAGCGAGCAACTTCAATTCCAAGAAAGTATCTCAAAGGACCTAGATCTTTCACCTCAAACTGAGTAGCAAATTCCCTTCAATCTTTGAATTTCATCTTTCCAATCACCAGTGATAACTATATCATCAACATACACTATTAGGTCTGCAATTTTCCCTTCCCCTCTTTTCACAAACAATGTATGATCAGATTGGCATTTCTTGTAGCCCTTTTGTTGTACAGCTACCTGGAATCTGCTGAACCAAGCTCTTGGTGATTGTTTCAGGCCATAAAATGACTTTTTTAACTTGCATACCTTTTGTTCATTACCTTGAGCTCGGAAACCAGGGGGTTGTACCATGTACACCTCTTCTTCTAAATCACCATTTAGAAATGCATTCTTGATGTCCAATTGGTGAAGGTCTCAATCGAAGTTAGCAGCTAAAGAGAAGAGAACCCTAATGGAGTTCATCTTAGCAATTGGTGCAAAAGTTTCTGCATAATCCACCCCATACACTTGAGAGAACCCTTTTGCCACTAGATGAGCTTTATACCTTTCCACTGTGCCATCTACCCTATGTTTCATTGTATACACCCATTTACATCCAACTGGTTCTTTTCCCTCAAGAAGATCCACCAATTCCCATGTACCATTTTTATGTAATGCATTAATTTCTCCCTTCATTGCATCTATCCATTCAAGCACTGAGAGAGCTTCCGCCACATTCTTAGGAGTAGGAACACAGTCAATGGAAGAGAGGAATGCCCGAAAGGAAGGTGAAATGTTTTCATAGGAAACCAAATGGGAAATGGGGTGCTTGGTGGTGCAAGACCTAACACCCTTTTAGTAAGCAATAGGAAGGTTAACATCATTAGCACTGGAGGAAGGAGCACTTGATGACAACGACAGAAAACACGGAAGGGAGGAGGATCAGGTAGAGGAGGGAGTTGAATTCGAGGTAGAGGAGGATTCTGAACCTGTTTGTCCTCATGCCTACACTCCCCTTAAGGAGAAATAGGACAGAAAGGTTTACTCTCAAAAAGGAGACATCCATGGAAACATGATATTTTTGAGAGACGGGATCAAAGCACCAATACCCCTTGTGATTTGTAGGGTACCCTAAGAATATGCAAGGAATAGCACGAGGATCAAATTTCCCACGAGCAGGTGATAGGTTTTGAACAAAGCAACGACAATCAAAAATACAGAGAGGATTAGACAAAAGAGGAGCCTTGGGAAACAGAAGTTGATGTGGGGCTTTGTACTCTAACCACCGAGAGGGCAAGCAGTTAATGAGATAAGCAGCACAAAGGATAGCTTCAAGCCAAAAGTGTTTGGGGACATTCATATGAATCAATAATCCCTAAACTACTTCAAGAAGATGGCGGTTCTTTCTTTTAGCGACACCATTTTGTTGTGGTGTCCGGGCATAGGAGGTACGGTGGAGTGATCCACGTGAAGTAAAGAACTCCGTAAGATCATTATGTCAGTATTCTTTTGCATTATCAAATTAGAAGATTTGGATTTCGGTTTGAAATTGTGTGAAAATCATTCTTTAGAAATCTTGGATAATTTTTGGTACTTCATCCCTTCTTCGCATGGGATATACCCATGTGTATCTGGAATAATCGTCAATAAAGGTAATAAAATACTTGTAGCCACTTTCAGATGGTAAAGTAACTAGTTCCCAAACATCAGAGTGAACAATATGAAAAGGAAATTCAGATTTATTATTCTTTGAAGAAAAATGAGTTCTGCAATGTTTATTCAATTGACAAGTTTGACATATCAACTCTGACATTGACACCGACTTAAACAAATCTGGAAATACAATTTTTATGGAATCAAAGGATAAATGACCCAGACAACTGTGCCAAAAATAGGCTTGACTCTTAATAGACTGACTCTTAGACTTTGTAGGCCAGCCTTATTCTCCAGCAAGTAGACATCATTCACCATACGCCCTCTACCAATCATCTTCCCCGAGTCCAAATCCTGAATTACACAATAAGAAGGGAAGAAGGTTACTGAACAGTTTAAAGAATTGGTTATACTACTAACAGAAAACAAATTAATAGGGAATTGAGGAACACGTAAAACATTAGAAAGTGTAGGACCAAAAGGAAGAGAAATAGTTCCTTGGCCAGCTATGGTAGAGAATGAACCATCAACCAGCCTCACTTTATCTCTTCCAGAGAGAAGATGGTAGGCCTGAAAGTAGGTAAACTTATCGATCATATGCTTTGACGCTCCAGAATCAACTATCCAAGGAAAGTTAGAGGAACGAGATAATACATGGAGAGCTGTGGCAGAATTACCTAATGTAGACACATATGAAGTTGATGGAGGAGGGGCATCCATCTGGCGAATTGCCCTACCATAAAGTTCTAAATGATCATGGAAGGAATTAATGATATCCTCCCTAGGGTCAAAATCAGTGGTTTCTGTCTAAACTACAGTAGTAGTAGGGGGCTGGTTCTCCTGAGTAGCCATGTTGGCTGTAGTGAATTTTCTTAAACCTTGCTGTCCTAACTTCTTATTTAGATCTGAACCCTATTTATTACTCAATTTCTAAGCCTATTTCGGCTTCCCATGAAGGTCCTAACATGTGTCACAAGTGTGTCGAGGCTTCTGGCAATGGGTGCACCATAATTTTTCTTTGTCATCCCCCCTTTTTTGAGAGTTTCCCTTCTTAAAAGGATATCCCCCACTTGTAACAAGACTTCCTTTTGTTGCCAACACAACTGCATTTCCCCCAGAATTATTCATTAGATTTCTTCTACTTTCCTTTGACTGGACTAGAGCATATACCTCTTGAACAGAAGGGAGATCCTTGCTTCCAAGGATCTGCACTCTAATGGATTCATATATAGGGTTCTAGCCAAGGAGGAAGACAAAGACCCCTTTGCTGAGAAACAAGAGACTTATATTCTTTCGCATCTTCGTCACACTTCCAATCAACACTCTGATAGTGATCCAACTCTTTCCAAATGGAAGACAAGTTTGAGTAGTTCACAGAGAGACTCCTCTCCCCTTGTTTGCAAGTAGAGGTTTCTTCCTATAACCGATAGATCTTTGCATGGTGTCTCAATTCAGAATAGGTTGACTTTCCTTGTTCCCAAATCTCATAAGCTGTTTCAGCCCACATAAAATTTCTTCTCACTTGAGGTTGCATAGACACTAAGAGCCATGATATTACCATGTTGTTCTCCGGGTTCCATCTATCATGCTTAGCACTCCCAGAATTAGGTTCTTTAATTCTTCCATTTATATAGCCTATTTTTCCCCTTGCAGCAATGTATAGCCTGATCCCCTTCAACCACTCTAAGTAATTTAGACCATCAAGAGGTATGACAGCCATAGGGAAGGATAAATCCATACCCCACTTAGTCCATTCTGCATTGATGAAACACAGGAGGTGGCTGAGTCTTCACTATTCATGATACCTGGTTTCGGTCACACTAGAAGTGGTTGAATCTTCACCAAACAAAAAAACAGTCCGACCTGTCCAAGAATGACATGAATTTATCTTATGAAAGATCGTAGTGAATTGTTCTCCATTTTTCAGAAATTGT